GTTGTTGTTGTTTGGTAGTGGGTAGGAATTGTTGTTGTTGAGGGGTGTTGTTGTGTTGTGGGGTTTGAGTGTGGGGAGCCATTAGGACGGCGTGGTGTGAGGGGAACGGTTGCTGCGGGTGGTGAAGGTGGTGCTGGTGGTGGTGGTGGTGGTGGTGGGGTGGCGGAGCGGAGGAATCTTGTGAATCCATGAGAAAGGTAAATCAAAAGTCAATAATAGAGTCACATTTATTCGGAAAATTGAAAATGCTGGTCGATCTGAATATATATAATTACGATGAGAGAGAGAATTTCAGAGATGAGAAAGAAAACTGGGCAGGTTTAGAGAGAGAGAGAGAGACGAGCGATCAGGGGAAAGAAGGGGGCCTGCCTGGGGTGAGGAGGGGGGGTTTAGAATTAGGGTTTTATATTTTCTTTTATCTTTTATTGTTTGGGGCTTTTTTCTATTGTTTTTTTGGGATAAATTCATATTTAATTTTTTTTTTTAAATTCTTCCCTTTTTTTCAAGGGTACATTTTAAATAAGTTCATCGTGGATACTTATTCATAGATTGTCTATAGATGTGTAAAAGACTAAAATACCCCTTCATATTTTAATATACATTAATTTCATCATTTAATTCGATTTAACCTCAATTTGACCTCACAATTCACAAATTATTTAGTTTTGACCCAAAATTCAATTTTGAGTACAATTTCGTCCGTCACCGCAAGTTTTCGGCATTGACTTTTTTCGATTTTTTTTCTTTTTCTTTTTCTTCTTTTTGTCACCGATGACCGGTGGTCAACACCGGTCTCTAGTGGCATTGACATTTTATGTTTTTTTTTTTTTTAATTTCTTCAACATTTTTTTGCCCGTTTAAACAGTAATATTGTTGTGGTTGACAGTTATATTAACTATATTACTGTTTAACACGGTAATATGAATTATACTACAGTTTAACACAGTAATATTGTTATATTACTCTCTAGCACAGTAATATTAACACAACAAAAATCACTATTATTGTGTAATAGAGTTCTATTAATATGTTGACCCTTCAACAAACGCAAACATAATAAACAGCCAAAAGAATTAATATTGATGTGGTTGATAGTAATATTACTGTAACGACAGTAATATTACAGTCAACCACATTAATATTATTGTGTTTACAGTAATAATACAATAGTAGGCAGTAATATTATTACGTTAATCGGTCAACAAATCAAACAAAATGAAAAAAGCCAAAAAAACATAATATTGATATGGTTGACATTAATTTGTTCACAGTAATTTTACCGTCAACGACAGTTTTACAATTACGTTGACTTGTCAACAAATCAAACAAAAAAAACACAAAAAAAAAAGCCAAAAAAATTAAGTATAGTATTGTGGTTGACAGTAAATTAATGTGGTTGACAGTACAATTACTGTTAGCGACAGTATAATTACTGTTAATGATAGTACAATTACGGTCAACGTTCAACAGCGGGCGTAAAAAAAATGGATAAAAATTTTAGGGACAAAAAAAAATTCAAAAGTCAACGGCGGAGACCGGCGGTATTAAACGCCGTAAACATATTTTTGAAATCATATTTTGTAGGTATGATGGATTTTGATATTAAAAATAAGGAACCAATTTCACCTTTTAATAAGCATGAATATATATATAGATGATAGTAAGTCTGAGGATGTGCACTATCACGGTGTTGATGACATAGGTGGTTTAGTTGATATTGATTTTGAGAATATTGATAAGAATGCAGTGGAAATGTTGATGATAAAAAAAAAAGTTATACATCGTATGCCAGGGTAGTTGGTTTTGCCATTAAGAAACAACGTGTAAATGTAAAACCATCGATGAAATTGTAAAGTACATGAATGGATGCTTATATGTGAGGATTATGCAGACGAGCGAGTTGACTATAATAGGAAGCGAA